TCTGCGGGACGCGTTGGCGGTGGTATCTTCCGCATGTCGGGGAATGACACGGTGTTCGAGACGCGCGACGTGCCCGCGTCGGCGGCGGTGGCTGACCACCCACCCAAGGATCCAGCACCGACACCAGCATCAACGCATACAGCACCAGCAGCGACGCGCGCACCCTCAGCGGCCCCGCGCACGCTCTTCGAGTTCACGCGTGCATGGGACAGCATACCATCCTCAGACACCGCCACACGCTGGGCCCTACTAAACGTACGTGTACCCTCACCCCTCTCTGTGCTTTCTTTTTCTAACCCCATTCCTACCATCACCATCGAATTGGCAGTCGATCCACCCCACATCCCTCCCAGCGCTCTTCGGCGCCTCGCTCGAACCCGCCCTCCTCGCCTCGCTCGTCTCCGTGCTCGCCGGCGCTTCCGCGAACACGGACAATATCACGTCTCGTGATGCCGTTAGGGCGGTCATGTGTTCTCTTGCGCGGGTGTCGCGGTTCAGGACCGTAGTGCAGTTTCTTAGCAGGGCGGAGCGGGACGCTGCGCGCGCCGCGTGGGAGGCTGTCGTGCAGGGTGACGGGGGAGACGGGGAAGTAGAAGAGGCTGCGCGTTTGTGGGGTTTCACAGATCCCTGATGTGTCGTCTATTTGGGCTCCGTACACTATGTGACCTAGGTATACGCTGCTGTGGTTAGGAAAACTCCTGAACACCAATATAATTCCCTCCTATTATGGTTCTGATGAGGGTATACAACATGTATATAAAATCTATCGATCCGTAACGCATTATATCGATCGTTCTACGTCCACAAGGCGGGCCACCGCAGCATCAGCCCCAGTCTCACTCCCGGTCTCCTCTTCCTCCTCATCCTGCCGCACGAACCGACGAAGAGCCCCCAGGAGCGGAGCACGGTCCCTCGGTGTATCAAACACCGTCGCATGGTCCAGCTCAGGGAAATAAAACACTTCGAGTCCATTTTGCGCCCAGCGAGTAGGCGGCTGTCCAGCCCCGCCTTCACCAGCAGCGTTCCCCTCCCCCTCAAGATCCTTGCTGCCAGTGAGATACGCGCGTACGGCACGCGCATCGACGATCTGGTCGCGACCTGCAAGGCTCACCGTAACGGGCATTGGTCTCCTCTGCTGCTTCCTCCCCCGTTCCCCCGCTGCTGCTTCTGCATATCCGCCCCCACTGGTGGCACCGAGGACGTCCTCACGGAAAAGGATGCACTCGTACCAGAAAAAGTGTCGTGAGAGCGCACGAGCCGTATCTGCGTCGCGACTCGCAAAATACCACAGTTGCCATTCGTTTGCGCGGCGAGGTTGGCGGTAGACAAAGTTGTAGGCTACCGCCGGGTAATGGAGAAGGAACGGGACCGGGTCTATGAGAAGTACTGCTGCAATTAGATCGCTGCCACCACTACTGCGGTAGTCGCAGGTCACGTGAAGACTATTTGTTGATTCACGCAAAGGCTGTTGTGCATGAGCGAGAGGATTCAATGGCGGGTCCACGGAAGCCCATTGTCTGCGCATGAGGTGAGCGGAAATGACGGTGCCGTAGGAATGGCCCGCCAAGACGACGCGGCTCAGGCCATGAGCATTCAAAATGCGTGTGATAGCAGCGCACATTGGATCACGTGCTAGGGGCGGCGCGGCGATGTGCATAGAAATGGGCAAAATCTCGATGGCAAGGATGCCGACATCCGGATCTTGCGCGGCCAGCTCCCGGAGGAACGCGACGTACGGTAAGAGGCCGATGCCAATGCCGTGGATAAATAGGATCGGGAGCTTCGTGGGCGAGCGGTGCGGTCGGTACCAGTAGGGTATGTTGGTCTCTGTGTCCCTGGAGGTCTGCGAAAACAGTGAAAGGAGTGGGCGTGGGGGAAAGACGTGAAGCCATTTGCGGGTATTGTAGTGTGTGAAGCCTTGGATATAGAGCGCGATAGAAGTGAGGGTATCGACAAAGCAGACGATCTGCCGCAAGATTTAGTGAAAAGGTGGGGGTTTTGTACGCACGAGGGAAGACTCACCATGTACCAGACAAAGGGCCGGTGCACCATATGCACAGAGTCCATAGTGAGACGGAGACATTGCATCTCGGGATTGCTCCCGGGTCTAAGAGGGTATCCGACATGTTCTCCCATGACGGTTATATAGTAGTCGAGCTCATCTTCCCACTCTGAATGGGTATCGCTATTACGGACTGAGAAGAGAGCCCAGAGGAGCCAGTCTACGACATTGTCACGCCAGATCTGCCGGCCAGGAGAACGAAGGAACCAGCCGGAGATCGATTCTGAGGTCATCGTGTCGGCACATTTATGAAAGAGCGCTTCACGTTCGGCGCGAGACATGCGCGGCGGGTGCTTAGCATCCTGATGCAGTGTAGCAATAAATGGATTAGCGTGTAAAAGTAACTTCGGCGGAAACCTACTTGTTGTAGATAGAAACGTCGAGGCAAATACACGTTCAAGAAGAATGCAGCCTCGACCACTGCATACACCCCGAGAAATGGAGACCAAAGAAAGGCGGCAGCGCGGTAAGAGACGACGAGATAGAAAATCGAGAGTGGCGCGATGAGACGGAGGGCGAGGATGGCGATCCGAATAAAGACGTATTCCGGCCTGCTATGACCGATCATTCTCGCTGGGCAAAATTCGTCGCCAGTGGGGAGTAAGAGGGTGATGGGCAGGGCGTACAGGGAGGGTTAAATGGGGTCAAGGACAGGATACAAAGTCATGTGAAAGAGGGTATCTTATTCGGACGCGAAGGAGAAGGCGCAGCAAGGTCGTCACAAGGGCGCAAACGATGACTAATCGACTATTTCTTTGTTTGTCCAGACCAAACATGATTCTGTGACTGTTCACACCCGCCCACTTCATTCATATGGCAAAAAAAAAGAATAAGCAGGCAAGTCGGCCTCCCTTCTATTCACCTCCACTTATCCAATCCCATAAAGGTTCTCCGTCCTTGGTGCTGGTATTGCGAGCGTGAGTTTGAGGATGAGAAAGGTCCGTTTGATCCTCTGTCATCAGCCCTGCATGCTCATATCAAAGCCTTGTTCAGTTCTAATGCAGCACCAGAAGGCCAAGCATTTTAAATGTGGCATGTGTCCTCGCCGTCTTAACACAGCTGGTGGTCTTGCAGTTCACATACAACAGGTCCACAAGCTCGAACCAGAAAAGTACGTTTTTTGCCCTGTCCTGTAATCGCCGTCTTATCGCCCCCACCTAGTCTCCCTCGCATTGAGAATGCACTTCCGGGTCGTGATGGGTACGAGGTTGAGATATTTGGTATGGAAGGTATACCCGCCCCAGATGTCGCAGACTATAAGCGCCGCAAGGAAATCGAGCTTGGCCTCACCGCAGGTTCTATTACTCAGCCGCCAGCCAAACGACCAAAGACAGAGAATCGACCACTTTCAGAGGAGGAACTACGTGCCCAACTCGAAGCGCACAAGGCCCTCATGGGGGCGCATGAAACTCCCGCACCTGCGCCCTCCGATACAAATCAGAGTGCCGTGTATGCAGCCACACCGCAGACATATGTCGCTTCCCCAGCACCGGCCCCTCCGGTTTCAGTTCCTCCTGTACCAGTGATTCCCCCAGGTGCGCCCCCCGCCTTCCCTGGCCTCCCACCGCCTCCGGGCGCTTTCCCAGGAGCACCTCCCTTCCCGCCCCAACTCCCCGGCATGCCTGGCATGCCTCCTGGGTAGGTCATTTACAACCTGATCTTATTTATACTCTGTGTGTTCACCTTGGTTCAGGCCTTCGCCGCCCGGTTTCACTATGCCTCCAGGTTTTCCCCCTCCTCCAGGTATGATGCCACCTTTCCCACGGCTGCCTGGTATGGTTCCTCTATTCCCTCCGCCTGGTGTAACACCACCATTCCCACTTCCTTCCATGACCCCGCCTGTGATCGCCGACTCGACACCTGCTCCACCTTCGTCATCTGTCACTCCAGCCCCCGTACTAGCCCAGCCTCTGGCGCCACCCCAGCTCTCGTTGCCAGATCCTTCGCTCGCACAGACGAACCCAGAGTTAAAGAAGAAGACGGTGCTCAAGTACTCGGAGCCAAATTTTTCCCCAGTAAGTTCCAAGGTCTTGTTTGTCTCTAAACTTGCGTATATATTGATTTCACCAATGAAAGGATGAGGTTCGCGCACGGCACCCGAAATATTACTTTGCTAAGGACATGCTTGTGTCTATTCCCGAGGCAAAGACTGATGCTGCGCTTGCGCAGGACGCGCCCGAGGTTGGGGCAATTGCCGTTGCTCCAGAGGAGGCACGTGGGAAAAAGCGGGCACGCGCAGAGGATTTCTTGTAATTCACTAGAGGGTATCGAAGAAGGTTGGGAGGTGAAGAAAGGGGAGGGTTGAAGGAGACGGAGGCTTACCAGTCCGTCCTCTCTGCCCGTGCTCTTGTGCTAGCCGATATCATTGCTCATCTCACTCTACTTCTCGAGGCCGCGAAACTCTAGAGATGGTGTAGAAGGTCATCCACGGTGTTCGACGCTGGTAGGGCCTTTTTTTTGCTTCCTTTTCTTTTCTTCCTTTCCCCCTTGGGGTCCTGTGATGTGTCTTTTGAAATATGTACGGTCGGTCCTTCGTTTTTCCCTACATGTGCTTATGTCCTGCCGAACGAATAATCGACAAGGTTCGTGGTGATATGGAATGCTAGTAGTCTGACATAACGTCGCATGTTCCCTGGGTTATAGCAATAGTGAGTCCGAATGTGCGATACAGGTGATGACAACTCTGTCTTTATTTGCAAGCCATGGTGTATCGAGCCATGGCGTATCGAGCTAGTCACAACAATGACACAAATGTGGAAGCTCTGACCGAGTGCGTGGCTACTGCTGCTGCGTTGACACACTGAGCTGAGGTGCTTGCGATTTATCGATGTCGATAAGTGGGTCATTAGACCCGCAGCCCATTCTCGATTCTTAGGACCATGGCTACCAAAATGGGGCGAACGTCGGTTATCTAATTAACTTAAGCCAGACCCGAAGCGGTTCGATGGTGTAGTTGGTTATCACATCTGTCTAACACACAGAAGGTCCCCGGTTTGAACCCGGGTTGAACCAAAGTTTTATTGCCCCACCTGAGGCCTGAGGGTTTCTTGAGGTGGTGACGATGACGGCACCGAATTCCGTGAGCAATGGGTATCATCTTTATTCTCCGTCTGCTTCACGTTTTCGATCTGACCAGTATACGTGGGTTTCTAGCCAGTTTGCCGCGGTGGTAGTTCACCAAGGCACAGATCCACTAAAAATGCTACGGTGTGTATTATTCTTCTCTCCTGTCTGCTCCAATGCTAAAACACTCAACAGAATGTCCATTCTAGCCAACTCCCCTATGTCCCGAAAGCAGCCCAAGTCCACACAGCACAAGAAAATGGCGTACCGCAAATCCTCACAGATTCTGACGCAGAACTCTAGAGATTGACGACCAAGCGTTTCCTTAAACTCGTGTCATCTTGTTCGTCTTTCCCACGACCATCGGACAATCCATTACGCTAAAAACGCTACACGTCTTGCATTTCGTGACTCAAACGTACTAGTTTGGCCACTTGCTTGGTGGAGTGGAAGGGAGATGTCACAATACCATTTTTCGTGTTGTGACACTGTTGCCTCTGGCGCACAGGGGTCAACGCTGGCACACCTCGTCCGGGAACCTCCTCTCGTAAACAGGGGATCAGCATAGCGCTGGCACACCTTGTGGGACCTCCTCTCGCAAACAGGGGATCGACTCGCAAAAAGCCGCCTCACTCTTGTCTTGTCTTGTCTAGCCCTAGCATAGGAGGGCCGATGGACGTACCCCAAGTGGGAAGTAGCCGTGCAGGGACTAATGAAATGTACGAAAGCATACCATACTTTCGTTTGTTGGTGGCGCACCGGTGCCCTGAGGACGGCGGAGATGTAGTAGTAGTAGGTCAGCTGACATACGCGTTTTTTCGTTTATTTCAAACCGGGAACTTCGGGAGCGCTACGCAGGCGTATGATAGGGGATATGTCAACTACTGTAGTGGGGGACGGATCACGGACTCAGGTCAGTTACAGGCTACGCTCATCGTATACAGTAAGTCGAACGCTCATCGAACACATGTATGCACAGTATGTCTGGCGAAGCTCAAATCATGTCATTGTCCTCCCCTAGTAGGTGATATCCCATCTTCCATAGAACTCATAGAACCCACTCAGATTGCTAAGAAATGGCGATAACTCCTCGGGCACTTCGGCAGACTCCGGGTCTCGCCACTTTACCCCAGTGACTAACCCTTACTTTTCGAAACCCACACCCACCTTCGATCAAGCACCCATTGTCACTTTTTTATTTTTGTTTGAAGCTCTGCTCGGTGCTCACCACTTGCTAGGTCGTCCAACGATGTTGAACACGGCTAGCATGACTTTTGGATTCATTAAAACTGGTAAGAGCGCTCACAAGAATTGGAGGCCAACACGCGAAAGCAGTTCTAGGGTGGAGTTCTCTGAAACCATGACGTATATGTCTGTAAATTTCCACATGTGGCCAGTCACCGGTCACCAGTGCGGAATTGGGCGCAATGGCGTAGGGACCGTAGGGTGCACGATTCGCAATTTCTCACGACCAGCGCAAAGGGTGGACCCGGGCGCGTCATGAACTACCCAGGAACCACCCGGTTCTTGGGAAACGAGGAGATCTGTACCGATATTATGTTGTACACGTGGAATGAGCGGAGTAAATTTCACTGCGGCATGTACATGCCAGTGTGCAGTATGATTGTTTCCCTGTTCCTCGGGCTATATAAGAGTTTGGTTCTACGATGGCCAAAATGATAGCCCAACACAAACCCCTTCCAAACTTGAATCCCAATCATACGCCCATTCTGATAAAGTACGTACTTATAACTCTTGCACATTCGTCACACTCATTTTGTTAGATGGACTTCTCGCAGCAATACGACCCACAGTCGACCTACCGTCGTCCAGTTCCTGGCCAGCCGCGTGGTCATGCCAGCGCAATGCGGGGTGCCGAGGCAAGTGATTGGGATCGTGGTATTCCCCGATTCACGGACGCATACGCCCGTACTGTTTTTTTAGTTCCCACCGGCGAATGCTGGTAATCATCGGCCAGACGAGGACAGGGTAGATATGCCCCCACCCGTCGAAAACACCGCTGCACAAGGTCAACCACAAGGCTTGCAATACGTCGACATGGGTTATTACGATATGCCCAATGACCCCCCTCCGCTACAGCACCGTGATCATGGTATAAACAACTATGCTGGGGTGGTGCCGGATGTCCCCGCCCAGACGCAGGCCGCCCCACCAGTCGCCGTGTGTACTTACATCACTTTTCCACATACAAACATCTAACCGGACCTTTCGCCCGGGAAGGTTGACATATTTGACGAGCCAGCTCGAAACGCTGCAGGGGGCCCTGCTCGAGCCTTCTTCGGTGAATGGCCTCACCAGCACCCTGTCCCCAATAGGCTGGCCAATGAAGTCCTTCGGGAGCTTGCAATCCTCTACTTGCGCGATCCCAATTCACAAGTTGTTGTGATTCGTATGGAACCTGGGCATGAACGTGGAGTCAAGGTGTTTATTGCTCTCGACTTGGCTAACCTTTGAGGTTGCCATTTGTCAGGACGTGGGCTTTGCCGTCACCAAGTAAAATTGTTCCGAGGCCTTGAGCTATGCCGTCTCGATGTACTTTGTACCTATTTAGCTCCCCTCTCATTCATGCATTCCTAGCTTCCAAGCTTGGTTTCGTCAGTTTATAACCTAATTTGTTATCTTTCCCCGGGCCTGCTTGTTCACTATCGCTAGACTTTCTCCTAAAAGGCGACCACGCTGATAGTTTGGCCCTGTGAAATCTGTCCATGCGCTTGCGGGATTCTGATCCCTTGATGACCGCAGCGGACACTGGGTATGTTCCGACTAACCCCGCGACTCTAGCTTTATCTGTCATCTGCAAGGCCTGTAAGGGTCGATCGATGTCCGTCACGAGAACTTCCATCGGAGTTGTCATTCTTGAAAGCAACAGGAAAGAGACGATGGCAACCGTTATACCTGTGTTATACAGAGTGGGGTGGACTGTACACATAAAACTAGGATGTCAGTGTAAAGCTCCACATCTGCATGGAACATTGTAGCGACCTCGATGAATGAAGGGCATTTATTCTGACTGAGTCCTCCGTCCAAGTTTTACAGTAAAGGCCATCGTCACAACGGTGACTCGAAAGCGGCAATACTCAATGACTTAAAGCTCTGATGGCAAGCCGCGAGGTGCCCCACACTGATTGACACCTTTCGGGCCTCATGGCAGCCATCCGATGTACTGGTGATTGGAATCGCCTGAGGTCCGTAACGTGCTATGCATAGCTTGTGTTATACTGTGCTTACCAATGTCCTAGCACGGCGCACTCAGGCCTCAGAACCCAATGCGACCATTCCGTAGTACGTTCGCCGAGTCAGCCGCAACCGTCGGAGACACTACCCATCAATCTGTGTTCGATGTCATTTTAATCCCATCGCTTTCTGAGCACTATGTTTGACAACAACTCACACTGACCTATCCGGGATTAGAAGTGTGATTGAGGCCCCGCCTTTCCGCCCCAAAGGTCTGCCATTCAAGCCTGCGATTGGGGGATCTTGGTCTGCTGAGGGGAGGCGAGACGGAGGAGTGGGCACGTGCACCGCAATGGTCACAGGGTTTGTTCTCACGGGGCCACCGCCCAGGGCTGCGTTTGTACATCTGGGCGTGAGCGGGCTATAAGAACCAGCAAACACCATATTAATCCGGGTCGGCTCCCACACTCAAGCATGTAAATCCTGGAGGGAAAGGCTTCTCGCCGAGCGCGCAGTGCCTCCAGGAGGGTGTGTTGAAGTCGCCGCTGATCTACATGCTCCACGCGCTCACGTTCAACGTTCAATATTCAGCTTCCAAATTGCTGCCATATTCTACATACGCAACGGCCATGCCAGACCTTCGATCTACAGCCGAGAGGGAGCTTATCAAGAAGAACGATGTCAGGACCGCCACCACGTGCCTAAGCGGTGTCAAAACGATAATCGTTTTTAATGGACATTGACTATCCCCGATGACAATCCGTGTTGCCGAATCCGAGTCCAGGACAGAAACTAGATCCAGCCCCTTTATTCATCCATCTAGGGATAGGCATACCTCTTTCGTATCGGGCGCCGCGGCGGCAATGTGACCTGGGATCTGCTGCAGGGGTTTCACGACTCTTGAGGGCAGCATTGACCAGCATGCGTTCTGCCTCGCCCGTGGCACGGCGCTCTCCATTCTCTACCACCACAGCTTAGGCGCAATGAAGACCGCATACGCCCACAGGTCGTGTAGTGCGGGTGTTGCCCGTGAATCATCGGCCTGGACGCTCACAAGCAGCAGCGGCCAGGTCGTCCATGGGAATATGCAGGGGCAAAGGGCCAGGTCTGCGCGGTGCATGCATGAGATGATGTTGAAGAAGGGGCCGCACAGCCGGCAGCGGAATGTTGTGGCCTTCAATAGGATATGCAGCGGAGGGGGGAGGGGGATCAACAGTCATGCCATCCTCCAAGCCATCTTCCAGGTCCCCCTTCAAGTGTTTCTGCGACCTCACCCCCGTCCTCACCAGTAACCGCAGCGGCGGCGGAGACGCCTGCCGCCTGTATTCCTTCCCGCCACTCGCCGTCGGGGCGGAATTGGCCGACTTCTACCTTTGGTTTGCGCTCGGGAACAAACGGAACTGCACTGTTTACCGTGGGTCTCGCAAAACCACAAATACTGACACAGGCGGTAGTTCCACGTGCACCGTAAGCACTGCAGCCGTGTCCTCGCCGTCAGCGGAGGAAATGCAGCAGAGATCGAGGCATGTATCAACGGGGACGGGGTCGCATATGGACAGAACGCGGCCAGGCGAGTTGCACATCCTGAGCTCGAAAGGGTGTGCTGTCGTCGAGAATTTTGTACGACTCGAGGGCGCGAGGGCTTTGCAGCATCCTTCTGGTCCGTGCGAGAAGCTCCTGTTGAAGCACGAGAATGCAAATGGTATGCATGCATGTTGTAGGTTAATATTTTCTGTGGAAGCGCATATGTTTTC